CTGAAATTACAGAGGAAATATATGTTTATTTAAGTATAAAAAATTGATTGACTCTTACAAAATCTGACTGTATATAAAGAAATTAAGGCATAGTTATGATTATTTTCCAATATCACTCTCAAGTTCCCAAGGCTTGTTACATAGTACTAGAGTATGATTATTTTATGTGTATATAAAAAGATTTTTAAGTTAGTAAATACAGCATAGAAATGATATATTTTATTTCTTATTGAATAATTTGATAGTCTGATTTTTCTTGTGAACAAAATAAAATGTTTTGAAGAAATTGTCGTCTGAAGTTAAGGAGAATTTTTCTATGAATAATTAAAGCTCATTTAGATGGAAAACAGCATTGTATGCTTGAGTCCTTCTTAAATCTCTCTAAAGTACTCTATTTTTTTCACATTTTTCTCTCTCCTTCATATATGTTTCCTTGATGAAAGTCACATTTCTGGACAAGAATGCCATAGAAGAGTACAATATTTGATAGTGTTTCCCACTTCTGGTGTGAGTTTCACTGTTAGACCCTACTAGTATTCTTACAATGGGTAGTTATGCCATAATGCTAGAATGAAATATAATGGAATCTGATGGGTATAATAGGTACTGGGGAAAAGGAATGAATCTATTCAAAAGGAGAGAGTTACTGAGCTGAGAAGAAAGACAGGAGAGTTAGTGGCGGAAAAATATATCTATGTATTTAAGTAGAATGGTTTGGACACCTGTACTGTGCATTTCCACTGGCCTATGGAAAGGAACAGATGATACTTAATTTGTTTTGTCTCAGTTTTTCAATTGTTTATACTTCTCTTCTGAATTTGTTATATACTTCTTTTGTTTTTCTTTCTTCTTCCAATTTTATGTGCATATATCTGGTAATATGACTAACTTCTTGGAAAACAATACTATGCATTACAACAAATACTGTGAAATTCATATTACTTTCTTAAGTGAAATTTAGTATCACTTGTACTTTTTCTTTTTTAGTACTATTTTGTATTCTCTTTAAAAAATAAACATTAAAAGAATATAGGCTATTAAAGATTGGAAAATAGCCCCTTAGTTGGTTTTCTATGGGCCTCTGGAATTATGTCCACAGCAACAGAAGGGAATTAGAAGAACAAACACTTTAGCCTTATAGATGAATAAAAAACAAATTCCCAAGGCAGAAAGAATAGACATAGCACAAGATTTAGGACTTTCATTCATCATTGGGGAGCACAAAAACCAGGAAGAGAGGGCACAAGAAATGAATCTGGAACAAGTGCCACCCTTTGCTTATTTGTAGAAAGCTGGCTAGACATGCTTGACATGAATGAAGTGATGTGAAAGTTTACTCCAGCAGCTTGGTAGGTAGGATGTACAAATGGGCAGGTAACAGAGTGTAAAAATAAATGAGCTTAAAATGTGGCATCTGGATAAGGTGCTGAGTGCCCTTAACTATCATTTTTATCCCCTCAACATGTAGGGTGGGGATTTGATTGTGAGACGAAGTTCTATAATCTTTTATTCGTCCAAATAAAGACCAAGCATAGGCTTATTTGAAAACCTCTTTTTCCACATAGAGAAGCACAACAGCTTGTAGGACACAGTTGAATGAAAACTTGATCTATTTCTTCAGGTTTAAAAATGGTTCAGTCATTAATAATGTGTATCTAACTAACTGTCCACCATTGCTTTCTCAGTAGTTGATTTCAAATAAACTCTTTTAATGCCTAATTGAAAAAAATGCCCTGCAAGTCAATGCTGCCATGCAGTGGAGTTTGATGCATGAAACTGCAGTACAAAGTAATAGATTTTCTCACTCATTCATGGTATTTAAAAAACAAACAAAAAAACCTACTTTGATTTTAATCAGCTCTCTGTGTGAGCCTGCCGAGGTAAAGGACAATTTGGTTTGCTTAATTTGTGTAATTAGGCAAATATAATTATGCAAATACAAAGTCCAGCTATAAGCTCCACTTAGATGTTTTGAGGAAAAACTGTATAGTTTGATTGCTTTAGCAAGAGATGTGTGGCTCTTATATTAAAAGGTAAAATGATTATGAAGAGGTGGAAAGTTAATGCTGCTTTGAAAAGTTGCTTTTTTTCCTCACCGTGTAAAATTCTTTTGGGTAAAGGCCATGGGAAGTGTTACTGTGGAAACTGTTACTGTGAGGCTGGTTGGCATGGAGATAAATGCGAGTTCCAGTGTGACATCTCCCCCTGGGAAAGCAAGCGAAGATGCACGTCTCCGGATGGCGCAGTCTGCAGTAACAGAGGTGCGTCGTTCATCCATGTCACTACATAATTAGGAGGCACACCGAGCTTCTGGCTGTTAACACTTCCCTGCCTTGGCTTAAAGGTGGGAAGGACTCATCTTTTAGAATCATTCACTTTGATGTAAATTGATCGTTTTTACACCAATGATCCTCTCTTTGTGGTTCTTTGTTGAGTAGAAAACAGAAAGATAAGAAAGTTTGTTGTCGTACTTTAAGCTTCAGTGAGCAAATAGTTAACACAGGGACTGACATGTCTTTGGCAGCCTGCCCAAAGTGGCATGGAACAGCTAAAAGGCAATCCTTGTAGATACTCCTGCTAAATGTCTCTTGATTCACAGAACCGCTGACAGTATGAGCGTCTAATTATCCAGAGAGCATGCAGAAAGCCCTCTTGTCTTAATTATGAGCAAATGAAAGGCTTGGTTGGAAGGCTGAATTGATGCAGATGAACTTAACTTCTCTGTGTAATAATAAGCAAATGGTATTGAACACAGTAGCTATAGTTGAAACTATATCAATGAGCCATGTGAAATTTAGACTGACCTTAAACAAGACCTTTCAAAATAATTCATAATGATGAAATATAATTAAAAGTTAGTTAAATCAAACAGCACTTTTAAAAAACCCCAGAAATGATTTGTTGTTTTTCCCTTGGTCTTATGTAGAGGTAGAGACCAGAGAACCACCCGATGCCCTACACAAGGGGCCCTAATGCCTTCTATAAAATTATAAAATCTAATTAGCTGAAGAACTATGTGTTCATTTCTTTCATGAGTGATTCACTCTAATAAATCACACACACAGTGGAAGGCTCTATCAACCTTGGACACGTGACATGGAAGGATAGGGCATATCATATTTCTCTGCAGAGAAAAATGGAAACAAAAATCCTGAACTTGGAACCAAAAAGAAAAGAAGAAAATAAAACCTCCTCCTTAATGTTGATTAAATTTTGCTATACCTAGTAACTCACTCTGTGTGCTCTTTAAATACATAAAGGCATATTTTCTGCTGAAGCCCTGTTTGTTCTACAGAGTGCAAACCCAACATTTTGTCAGTGTATAAAGCCTGAACTACCCAACTAGAAAAATAACCATTGAGGTGTTGAACTCAGGGGAAGAGGTGGGGTGGATGTGGACAGGAGTCAGGCTCTGCAGCAGTGTGGTGGGCCCTGAGTGGTGGGGCGCCCTTCAGGGCCTCACAGCAGGGCACCTATCTGTGATCCTGCTCCTGCGTGGGGGACTGGCATTTGCAGATCTGGCAGAAGAAGCGTGCTTGCTAGGAGTTTGCCTGAGTGAGTCACATAGGTTGCAATCTCTGGGCGTTCAGGAAGGCAGGACAACACTTGCTCTGTGACGAGTCCCCGGAAAATGCCACCTGTGTCTAACCTAGCACCATTTCCTTTTATTTCCTTTTCACTGCTTCCCTTCGTAAAAGAGAGATGCTGTTTCCTGCAAGCATCTGTGCAGCCTTCCTTTCCACCCCATTTCCAAGGACCAAGAAAATAGAATTGTGTACCTAACTATGCGGTGATGGGCAAAGTTCCCCGTCATCCGCCTGCCTTGGGGGCAGCGCGTACTGCACCCACTTGCAATGTGCTTGACAGTAACTCATTCTTCAGATCTGCTTGTCCTTGTCCCCTCTACATTACTTATACTGTCACAAAAACAATGAACGTCCATTTTTAAGAACCAAGATAACAGAGTATAAGGAAGTAAAAGATGACCAATAATGTTTAGATAAAAATCCCGTTTCATATTTTAGTACGTGATCTGTTGAAATTTTTCTTTACTTCTTAATTTCTGTGATTTCCCCTCCCCTCTGAAGAAATATGCCCACTTATACCATCTTCTTACTAAACACAAAAATTGAATTACACTATACATATTGATTTTTAATCTGACTTTTCCATTTAATATGTATTTTGGTTATATATATATCAGCATGAAAGAGCCAATTATTACATTTAATGACTGCTTTGGGACCCACATTATGCATACATACATCATTACTGCACTAATTCCCTGTTGATTGATAATTGGGACACTAGAGGTTTTTCAACAAAATCAACACGGTCATATTTTCTATTTCTGGGAAGGTACTTTTGTGCACTTTTTCCCTGTTGTTGTTGAAGGGGGCTATGAACGCTGCGTAATAGCATGTATCTAAGAAGCACACACTGTGCACTCACCAGCCGGAGCATTGGTTCATTTCGTGCTGCACTTCAGAGCGCGGAGCCCCCGTTGGCTCCCTCCCACACCGGCCTGGCTGCTTAGCAGTCTCTGAGCTGTGACAATCTAGCACCACAAGTCATTCCAGCTCCCTGTTTTTCTCAGTCCTTCTCACCCTGAAACCCTTATTATTACTAGGAGGTTGAGTCGGTGAACAGTTTTCATGCTGATCATTATTTCTTTATGAGGTTTTCTATTGCTCTTTCCTTTTGCTTATTTTGTTTTAGGTGTACTACACCTGTACAGTGTTACTCCTAAGAATTGTTTGTGTGTCTGTGAGTTAGCTCTATGTCTTCTAAATTCACAAAAACTACTTGCTTCAGCTGTTTTTTTGTTTTTTTGTTTTTTTTTTTTTTTTTATGGTGTTTGTTCCCTATCAAAATTTTAGGCTTTTATATGGTGAAGTCTGTTTTTTATCTCCCTTTAGTAATATTTTGGTGGGGTTCTGAGTACAATTATGGTCTTAATTTATATTTAAGCCTAAAACCCAACTGGCATTTTGAGGAGAGTAGTTAAGTTTTTAAAAATGTATTTGCCCCAAATGATTAGATGTTTGCCCTAAAATACAATGACTGATGGTACTCCCAAAGTAAATATAGTGTGTGATCTTTATGTATATCCAAAGTTTACAATAAACTTCACTGTGAAAAATGACTGAAAGGTAAACATGGCTTCCAGTGAAGCACTTTCCTAAGCAACCCTCCTGATGACCAAGGTGTTGCATCTTCCTTTGTTTTCCAGAACCCGTCATAGCCCGGACTCATCTAACTCCTCTAACTTCCTTCTTGGCCTTCCTTCCTGTGTATGGGGGATCCACACCCAGACTCAGTGTCTTTTTTTTTTTTTTTTTTTTTTTTTTGTGGTAGAACTGGGGATTGAACTCAGGCCCTTGTGCTTGCCAGGCAAGCACTTAAGATACTAAGATATTTCTCCTGCCCCATGAATCTCTCCTTTCTGAAACTTTTACATCCTTTCCTCGTAGTTTATCAATGTGAGTGGGTATGCTCCTGGTACTTGCTGACTTCTCTTTCATTAGTCTTTGTTGTTGTTAACTAGATGGCATAATGTTATTGGCTAAGGTTATCTCTCCTCTTAGTTTTTTTGACCTTATTTTTGAAAGAAACTAGCATAGTGCTAATGACACACATCATAATCTCGCATCATTGTAAACACAGGTGATGACTTTTAGTTATTAAGGAATTTCTACTACAAGCCTCAGATGGTATTTTCCTTTTATAGAACATGTCTTATCTGAAGATATATATTTTCCCTAAACAAAAGCAGCACCAGAGAGAAATCAAGCAACAGGGGAGAAAGTTTTTCTCTTATATTTTATTCACTAGATCCATATAAAGTTCTTTCTCCCATCCAGGGACTTGTGTGTGTGGTGAGTGTTCCTGCCATGATGTGGATCCCACTGGAGACTGGGGAGACATTCACGGGGACACCTGTGAGTGCGACGAAAGAGACTGCAGATCTGTTTATGACCGATATTCTGATGACTTCTGCTCAGGTACGGGAACGTCTCTCTTGTATTTTTACATTTAAAATACTCATTTTCCAGTTGTCAAGATTTGTTCAATTCTTGTAGACACTAAGAGAATCTGAGCACAAGTTCAATGAATTCTATATTTTCAGTGTTCCTACAAGTAACTCAGGAAACCTCCAGATGCAAAATTCCAGAAACAAAACCAAAACTACCTCCCCTGGCAGAGGCTAGAAGTGGAAGCTCGCTTATCCACTTAGAATCATTCTAATTCCTTATCAAAGACAACCATATGCGGTAGACAGGCATATCTTCTCAACTCAGAGGAGAATACAGAGCTATCACATTTGAGGACAGTGAACAGGATACTTACCACTAGAACAACTATTAAATTATTGCTGAGCTTAGGGTAGCACAGCTCTCAGGGATTTTTTATGTATTGCTTTCTGATAAGATTTATACCACAATTATGTTGTGATGTAGTCTAGGACTAAATATTAATCAGTATTTTCAAAAATTTTATGTCATTAATATGTATGGGATAGTACTATTTTCAGAGTCTGTGAAGTGTCCAAGATCAACCAGGGAAGAAGGGAAGCATGATATTTTAATTTATGGAGCTCATGACTAAGCACCAAGAAAAAATCATATCCATCCAGCAGGCCTAATAGAGGAGGAGGAGGAGGAGGAGGAGGAGGAAGAGGAGGAGGAGGAGGAGGAAGAGGAGGAGGAGGAAAAGAAAGAAAGAAAGAAAGAAAGAAAGAAAGAAAGAAAGAAAGAAAGAAAGAAAGAAAGAAGAATTATCTAAAGCTGAGTGTCATTTAGCAAAATGAAGCTCTGAATTTTCAGTCCAGGAATGCTTGAGGATCCAGAGGACCGGCACATACAGATGCAGCCCTGAGCTGGCTGCTTGCCTGCTGCATGCAGATAGAAAGTTCCTCTGATCTTCTGGAGGAAGGTGAAAGAGCTAAAATAAAAGAGCTGCTCTGTTCAGTTATGACTGCAGACCTCATAGGGCTAAAGCGAGACAGCTGATAAAACTTCCCAGAAGGATTTCCCTTTTGCTTCCCAGGATTTTCTAAACATTGGAGGAACGCTATTCTTTCAATGGAAGTATTAGTATTTATTATCTATGTAGGTGTTCTTTACTGTTGCAATTATCAACACAGTGATGATAAAACAATTGATAACTACTGAGTGACTTTAATATGCCAAACACGTGCTGAGGGTGTTAGGAGATGGGACTGTTTGATATTTGAATTGAGATACAGTGACCTTTCCCAGAGGTGATGCAGCTATAGACTGCAGTGCATGTGGGGTTCTGCCTTCAAGGCAGGCTGGCAGGAAATTAAATAGGAGAAGGGCATGCAAGTAGAAGGGGTGGAGGAATGTGACCCATGGGCGGCACCAGACTCACGTTGAAACTACAGAGATGTATGAGAAAGAAAGGGGGCGGTGGAAGGCAAAGCTTGTGAGAAACAGAAAATGGAAGGCCTTTCACTTTGCCACAGACATAGACTTTAAGGGCAGTGGAGTACTCAGGAGGGTTTTAGGTGGAAAATCGCGGTGGTGGTCAATGAGTTTTAATCTGGTTGTCTGGGTAAACGTTGGTGCAATTTAATGACGTGAGGAGAAAGGAAGAAGTTAGCAAGTTTGCTCTTAACTGTGAGTATAAAAGATAAATGGCCAACCAAAGTTAGTTGGTTTCCAGCCTACTCAATATGTGAGCTGGGCCTGAACATGAGAATTTAGGGTTTTACACACACCATTGGTAGTTCAAACCATGCTAATTAGGGAATCATCATTTATAAGTGCCACTTTAAGACTATCTGGAGATCAACAGGAATTCACATGATTTAAAATTAAAAGGTAGGGAAATAATTACCAGGAAGTACCTAAAACTCATATTTGTGACTTGCTGATATGCTCATTTAAATTTTTTAAATTTATTTTATATTTATTTATTTGGTACAGGGTCTCACTACACAGCTTGGAGTCATAGTGATCCTCCCGTTTTCAGCATTCCTAGTACTGGGATAACAGGCGTGTACCTCCATGCCCAGTCTCAGTGGCCGGCTAAGCACGCCCAGAGCTGGGGCCTGTGCCGTCATGTTGTGATTACCGTACAGTGGTCTGTGACATTCTGGTCTTCTGTGAGCTGGTTCACTGCACTGGGAGGGCTTAGTTCCTGGGGTGAGGGCTGGTGAGGACTTCCCTGGCACTTTTCTCTCCTTTAATTCTTTCCATTCTTATTCTCTTTTCCTTAGGCTTGGGTAGTGCCATAGCTTGGGCAGTTGTGCTTTCAAAGAGGCCTTCGGGGAATCTAGTTCTCCATATCCCTCCTTTCTCCCTTCTCTCTTATGCCTATTTTCTTCTTGGTCGTATTTTCTATCCTTCCATATCCTCCGAGATATCAGGGATGCCTGGATGGACCTGGCTGCATGGCAGTGGGGTTATTGAGATTCTTTTCATTCATTGGTCCTTGTGACCATTCCTCCACCGCCTGGCTCCCAGCCCGTGTAGGAAGAACTGAAGACAGCAGCAACGCTCTTTAAGAGATCCTATTCTGCTAGATCTTAACAAGTTCTTTAATACACTTTTATATACATAATTCCACTTAAATTTTGCAAAAACTCAGAGAGGGAGGCATTAATATCTGCATTTCAGCATAGGAAATAATTTCAGAGAAATTAAGTACCTTGATGAGGTTTGTACTGCCTTTAAGCATTATCTGAAAACACAGATAGCCTAGTACTGTTGTAATTTAATCTGCAGGTGATACAAATAAAATTCTTCAATTTTACTTTATGTTGATGAGAAAGCCTCTGGATACCTATTACAAGACTAGGTTTTTCTGAACATCATGATGACCTATTTAGCTGTCAATATCTTTAGTATTTCTCAATACTTACTAAAGCTGTTGAATTCTGTGTATTATGCTTAGAGAGTTATAAGACTTTGTGACTTCCTTAATTATCAGTAAGTTTCAAAATAGAAAGGATGTCACACAGTTCATTATTGAGCATGTGAAATCCTTTGTACTACAAGGCAGAACTAGCCTAACAACATCAATACTTACTAGTGAGTCTTGGTATGTAATAAAGCTCATATGCAAATCAGTTTTATTTTTAACTTCCTTTCCTGCCATTCTGGAGATACTGGTTTTCTTTAAGTCCAAGGGATGTCTCTGAGTGGGTTAGTTTAAAGTGATGCTCTTAATCAATATATTTATTTTATTTATTCATTCTACTCTATCCATTCATCTAATCCATAATATACTTACATGTAAATATTTTGTGATCAGTACCTTATAGCAGCAGGGGATACAAATATGTTGACATTGTACCTGCTTCCAAATTAATTAGTTTTTCTTCTTTTGTTCCTACCAGCTGTTCATCATTGACATGTCATAGTTGATATTGGGTTCATTTATCTGTCCACAAACATGTATCAAACATATATGCACATGCGCCCTTGAAGAGACAACTGGCAAATTTTGAGGGTGACATTGACCAGGGCATGGCCATGCGTCAAACAATGTATTAACCATTTTGTCTGTCACACACAATTTATTTCTTGATTCCAAAATAATTTCTTTATTCCCAAGAACTGCTTAACATTCTAGTTTTATTTCTCCTAATCCTGTAATTGAAAAAATTTAAGGCACTGTGAACTTAAAATTTATTGTTCAGCTTGTTCTGCCTACCAAAATGAGAAACATATAAGGACAGTCTTGATATAGGGTTGCATTAATTTGAAAAATAGAATCAGTTGATAGAACTATAGTATGCGAGGAGGATCCTTATTATTGATTACCAAAGTGATAAGGAAAAATGATGGAAATGCTTAAGTATATTTACCTTGCTTTTCATCTTGGAAGAAAAATCAATACATTGAATAAACTAGATTTTGAGAATAACAAGTACCAGTTAGATTTAATTTGTTCCCAGAGGCTTTTTTCTCTTGATGGCTTTCATGTTTTTTATAAGCAACTACTTGTAAACATCAGGTTTATATTCATGGGAACATTTTGACCATTTAGAAAGAAAGAAACATCCTCTATATCAGAAAAGTGTTTTGTCTGGGATAGCATCAACTCCATTTGTCCTGCTCTGGTATTTCTAGAGCTTAAATAGACTCAGACAAAAGAGCACAGTGGTTACAAATACAAATGATATTTTGATGTCAGCACCCTTCCTGTAATAGCTTGAGATTCCTCATAACAGCTGCCTTTCAAGCAGGGCCATGGTACTGGTCATATTAGAAACACTCCTGTTCCTGCAGTGTAGTTTGGCCTTTGTTTACATCTGCAGTAGGTGGAATATGCCAACAAATAAACACTGCACGGTCAACCAATGTTGAGTTGTGTTCAGTGTGTGTGTGTGTGTGTGTGTGTGTGTGTGTGTGTGTGTGTGTATGTGTACACTAAACTTGTATCCATGTCTCTCTTACTTGGATTCTTTCAGTGTTTGAGATCAAAGATGAAACACAAGATTTCCTTTCTTTCATGTCTACATTGTTGAGCCTCTGCCTACACAGCTTAAATACTTTTTGTTAGAAGCAAGGAAATTAACAGCTATGGCCTTAAATACACACATATTTGACAAACTTGCATGGAAGAATTACTTTCCAAATCAATGGGGAAAAGTTTACTTTTAGTTCTTTCCACTTGAAAAATAAGTTAAATTGAGATGAGGTCCAGAGGGATAATGGTGCACATAAATCAAGGAGCAAGCCACCTAGTTTCTTTTCTTATGCGTTTTTCACTATCTATTTATGGAAGACCTTGATTTAATATGTTAGGGCAGTCTATAAGATTTTCATACTAAGTGGATCTCATAATTTTTTAATCATTCTTTAACAAAACCAAGCATTATTGCCTCTGTGGTTTTCTTCCTCCTGGATCATTCCTTTCCTCCCTGTTCGGCATAACTTTTATATTGGAGTTGAGGAACTAATAACTCCAGAAAAGAAACCGCATTTTTATTTCATAATTTCCTGGGTTTTTTTTTTTTGAAAGTCTCAATATCTGCTTCATAATCTGCTACCAGTACCTTACACTTACAGATAATTTTGTGACTCAATAACTTCCCCCGAAACTAGTATCAAGAGTTTGTATCTCTACATGCTTTCTGACTCTACTGATTAAATTTCATGAAGAATTTTGTAAGAAATAGATGCTGTCATTTAGCGTGGGACATCTAATATTCTGAAATGCATTCTAACACCACATGACAGAGTTTGAAAGATAAAGGATATGATCTCTCCTTACCAAGAAAACCCAAATTATGCTTTCACTTGCTAATTAATCTCTAGTAAGTATGTGAACCAGGCAATGCCTTTGTTACTTTATTTTTTTTTTAACTTTTATCCGTGTATGTTTACAATACATAATAATTATATCGCTGTAAGGAACTAAGGAATTGCTACAAGCACATAACATCTCAATTCACTTCTTCTCCCTATCCCCCTTTAATTTTTTCCAGCATCAGAGTCATTTATTTATATGACCTACTAAACTTATTTCTCATATACAGAGTTGAAATCTAGACTGATAGGCTGAAGAGCATATAGAACATGTAAGGTAATTTCACTAGGTCAAGATACACACTGTGGTAGACTACATTTACAGAAGTCTTTCTCTACTTTTACTCTTGTTTCCCCTGTGAGGTTTATTGAGCTAATTGATCTAGGAAATCCTACTATTGCCAGGCGGCCAAACCTTCAAAATGCATACCATGCCATTATTTCCTCATTTAAACTGATGGCTGCATGGTCTCTGACTTTAAGAGACTTTGTACATTATAGGTGGCTTGTTTGTGTCACTTAATGCCTTTTATTTTCTCAAAGTCGACTTGTGCTGAGAAAGAAATCCTTACACATTGTCATAAATGTAAAAAGATATAACTGCTTATTGAAACCTGATGGCAAAGATTATCTTATAAAAGACACGCAATTAGATGATTAGAGGAGTACCAGTGGCCATCCCAAACTAGACAGTATTCTACCAATGTAGTACTTTCTTCTTTGGGACAAAGCCTTTTGTACCACAACTGATAACAGACATAATATTCTCCTTTGAACCCATAACAACGTGTGGAGCATCAACTTCAGGTTACCAGGAAAAGTTTGTTTAGGAAGTTTAAGGACTGGAGTACAATACTGAGGCAGAAAGCACAAGAAACTAGGTGTCATCACACACATGACAGAAGTATGTGGCTTTCACAGCTTTGCTTCCAGTTAACAATAGCTGGAGGCAAAGTGAGAATTTCCTTGAGAATGTTGATGATGCTACTTTAACTACACAGGAGGTAGCGGTGTGGAAGCTTGTAGGCTCGCTGCCCTCTCTGCCTATGGAAGACACAGAAATATCCAAGGGATAGAAAGATAAAGTAGAAATAATAAGATGACATTTCAGGGTGAAAAGGCTTAGAGATGACAGGAAAATGAAAGTGAATGTGTCGGCTTGAAGACAAAAATTCACGAAGAATTCTTCTGCTTGGTCTAGAGCATCTGCATTTTTTTGAAATGCATTCAATTCTCCACAGTTAATCTGACTTCCTTTGATGTTAATTAGATCAGATTCTAACTCTAAAAATATCATTTTAATAACTTCTGACCTTCTTTAGGATTTGTTTTGTTCTATTACATTTTTTAAAAATGTCGACATGTGGATGAACCTCAGCTGGAAAATATTGATTGTTTTCCAGAGCATCTGCTGGCTTTCCACATTGAGAGTGCTCCCTTCTTGGTGACAGGTCCCCCTTGGCACCTACCTGTGCCCCTGGGGCTTCTGCTTCTTCCTTCAAGGGAAGGGAATCCTCCTGTGAGCAGGAGTCACTGTCCGAGAGCTCAGCGGGCCACTGCAGCAGGTGGAATCCTCTTAGGCCATTCTCTGCTCCCTCATCTGTCAGATACCTTAGCTCTAACTGTTACAATGATTTCAAACTTTCCAATAAGTTTTCCTTCTTCCACCTGGTTTTCAGCTTACAGTTGGAGTACTGGCTGCCTCTCCACAAAGGGCAGCATGTGCTGTTCTTTGTCTGGTCTCCTTTTAGAAAAATCTCACTGTTTCCAAAAATGAAACCTCTCATCTGCAAGAATTTCAAAGCTCCTGGCCCCTACCAAACAACAGAATTGATTGTACTTTAAATGTTAAAGTTTTCATCTTTAAAAACTGCTATTTATGTGTGAATTACCAGTGGCGCTCTGTTTGCCAAGTTTGAGCTAACTCACTTGAGATTTGGAGAGAACAGAATCTTCCTGAGCCATGATAAATGGCAAAAACCCATGGAGCCCCAAACCCGAGAGCATGTAATTGTTAGTGAGTGTGAACTAGGATAAAAAATTTTATAATTAGAAGGTCTAAATGATTATTATATTGCCCTCATAGACAATTGTTGGCAATTACTTTTTTCCTTTAAAATCATGAGCTCCACTGGTTGAATAATTGTTGCCCAGTAAGTGTTCAATAAATAGTTACTGAAAATAAATTTAATATTTATTGAGAGATTTGAATTCAATGACCCATAGTCCAATACCCCACTTTAATGAGTGATTTTATGATTTTCCTTATAAAGAACCACATTAATAGATGGCAATATCATCTGCAGGTGTGAGTTGTCCAATTTCTGCAATCTCAGAAGGTGGACCCCGCCATCTCAGAAAATAGTGACAAAAGGGGCCACTCTTCCCTGAAGGCATGTTGGATAATACACATTAAATCAGATGCCCAAAACAAAATAGCATGGGGTTTTCCTCTTGACCACTGTCCCCGATATATTTTTTTAAAGTGCCATTCCAACTCTTCATGCATTTTTGCAGCAATTATAGAAATATACTTTGTTCTGGGTCTATAATGAAGAGCTGGATGTTTATTAGGAGTTGTGAAAAGCTTGTTTGAAATTATCATGTTTTCCTCTACTTGGTTACATGCGTGGGCTCAAATGAATAAAAATAACCATAGCTCATTTTTTATGTCACATTTTAAACATATAATGTAGTTCTGAATAAATGTGGGTAGACAATATATTATTTTCCTGTGCACAGAAGGCAAAATCTTAACAGCACAGAGTTTCCCTTTGAGTAATAATACAGGATGGCCTTTGACATAGCCTACCACTAGCAAAAGTCTTTACAAATTCTGTGACTCTGTCCACGGGCCAAGTAGCTTAATATCTTTCTGGTGGCTTATATTTCTGTTTAAACCAGTTATCTATTTTTATTTTTAAAGTTTTATTAAGACACGTTTAGAGCAATGATTATGTTCATTGTGGGGACTTGGAAATATAATATCATGCCTGGCCTCTTTTATGTATGCAAGGTTGGTTTCTAAGTATAATGAACCCCACACAGGTTACTAGTTTTATACTAAATCCAAATCAGAACCACAGTGAAACTTCACACCTGCTAGGAAGAATGATATAAAAAAATAAACATAGGCAAGGATATGACAAAAAGGAATACTTACACATTGTTGTAAGTGTAAAATGATATTACTGTTTATGGAAACATTATGAACACTGCTCCAAAAATTAAAATAGAACAGTCATATGGTCTAGATTTTTTAGGGGGTTATATCCAAAGAAAATAAATCACCATCTCAAGGAAATAGCTGCACTCCTTGAAAGATTTTTCATAATATTTAAAATATGAAAACAACTGAAGTATCAACTGGCAAATGAACACTTAATGAAAGCCTGGTACATGTACAAAAAGGACTACTATTCACCCTCAAAAAAGGATATCTTGATTTGAATTGAATGACCCATAGTCCAGAGACTGTTGCTCTCTTTTAAATACGGCACATGCTGACGACTAAATATGTAGTCTCTATGTCTTGGTTTTTCCAGACACAGATGAGCTTAGGAGAGATCACGTGACATGAAATAAGTCAGATGTGGGATGCCACGGACTGCCAAATCTTCTTTATAAGGAGTATGTAGAATCTGAAAATGCTGAAATCCTAGAAAACAGAAGGAGGTTACGGAGGACTGGGGCGGGGGGGAGGGGCGGAGATGCTCCTGCAACCTGCAGCTCTTCAAAGCTATGAGAAGGACACAGTCTGGAGTCCAACTCACAGTGTGGTTGCTGCAACTATTATGGTGTGTTGACTACTTGAAATTCGTGAGGGCAGATCTTACAGAATTTTACACAAACCCAGATGAATGATTACACGAGTGAAAGATATGTCAATTAACTTATTGTAATCATTTCATGATGCATATATGCATCTCAACCATTGTGCTCAGTAGGATTTAACTGTACACAATTTTACATGCTAATTATAATGCAGTAATACCAGAGCAAAAGAGAGCTACCTTTTCAAATTCCAGATGCACTGCTTTTCTTCAGTTTGTGGGCCCTGATTTTTCTATTGTGGTAACTCCATAAATAAAGATCAGTTAAGTGATTTATTAGAAATAACAGAAAATCCTGCTTCAAAGATAAACTGTTTGCCATTTCCTATGGCTTTCCTCCACGTGAAATTAATTGCCAGATCCATCAAGTGGGCCTTCTGGCTCCCACTAGACCAACACAATCACATTTATCTGGAATTTGACAGGTCTGGGTTAATAACCCAACTTAACTGTTGGTCTTATCTGTATTTGGTTTTTGCTCCCCATGAACAATTAATATAATTTTAGTAATCTAAGAAGAAGGTAACTTTGTCTTAACATTTTATATTGTGTTCATTAAGATCTGGACATTTTTCTGATATTCACTGCTTGAATGCCAACGGGAGGTGAATTCCAGCACTGTCTTTATGCACACTGTTCTTTCCCACTCCACTGTGAAGGTCACGGGCAGTGTAACTGTGGAAGATGCGACTGCAAAGCTGGCTGGCATGGGAAGAAGTGTGAACACCCCCGGTCCTGTCCACTGTCTGCCGAAGAGAGCTTCAGGAAGTGTCAGGGCAGCTCAGCCCTGCCTTGCTCGGGAAGGGGTGAGTGTGATTTCTTGGGGTCATTTCCTGCTTCCGGACCTTGGGACTTAGTAAACATAGTCAGTAGTCAGTATATGTTATATTTAAAAGAGAGCTGTAGTCTTTGATTGAGGGTAGACTAATCTTTCAGGATGGTAAAGAGCAAAAATATATAGAAAAACTCTCTCTCTCTCTCTCTCTCTCTCTCTCTCTCTCACACACACACACACACACACACACACACACACACACAATTATTCTGTCTGCTTTAGCTTTGAGGTTTGTTCAATTTCAGTTCAGTTCCATTCATTTCCTCCCCCCACCAAAAAGCACAAATTGGCTGTTTGCTTAAACCTTCTGGATGCAAACATCTAATTGTGTGCTGACATTTATGAAACCCAATATCATTATTTGGTGGAGACTGCTGTCTTTTGGAAAAGCATCCTATAAAGGGATGGCATGAGTAACCCAGTCTCGCCACAGCTCTGGGTGTGCACTTATTATAATGTCAGTACACGTTTCCAGAGAGAAGGAAGTGTTCACCCAGAGGGACCAAGTTTCCATTCCTTTCGATTTATCAAAATAAGAAATACAAATTCATTTCTTATGAGAATGCAAAAGTTAACATAAAATATACATTCAGAGGAAGTTCAATTGAGATTATTACAAATTTTGTTCAAGTAAGAAAAAGATGCACTTTCTTTACTTGAGTGTTAAGAATTTAATTTCCTGCTATATTTTTCTTTTGCAAAAATGTACTTTTTACTTAAGGTATAATTCCCATAGCATAAGATTTATCTTTTAAAGGTGTAAAGGTCAATGTTCTAAGCATATTGATAGAGTTATGCATTTATTCTAGAATTTTTACTATCCCTAAAAGAAAACCTGTATTCTGTATGAGTCACCTCCTTTTCTCTTTTTCAGAGTGCCTAGAAGTCACTCCATAGGTTGTCTGTGTACTTATCGATTCTGTTTATGTCATAAAGATGGAACTGTAAAGTGTGTGCTCTTTTGTGTCTAGGTATTGTCACTGAGTATCACATTTTAGGGTTTATCCGTGTTGTGGTCCTATCCATCTCTTACTTGCTTTTATGACTAAGTAATATTCTACAGTACTGGTATACCATGGTTGTTCACCCACTTGTCAGTTGACAGACAGATAGTTGGTTTCTGTTTTGGCGTCAAGCATAATGCTGCTACGAATATTCACATAAGTGGGCGACTGTATTAATTTCGTCAATTTCCTATGAGGGGACTTTCAGAGGCATCGGATAATTCCGATTAAATTTTTGGCTATTGCAATCTTGTTAACACATTTATATTTCCCCTAAAATGTGTAACTGATCCAATTTTAGCATATTTTGTTCTGTTTCTGTGTTCTTTTTTCTTATTTGTAGTTTTCTTTATATAGAAAATTGCCCAGATCTCTAGGATTTGTTGTATCATAGGTATTTTCCCTAGTGACTTTTTAAAGGACAGGAGAATATGGGTTAGATTATTTTGAAACAAGTATGTTCAGAAGTACTTGTCTAGCCACATCCTTCATCAATAGTAGCCCAGACAGGAACCCTTGATCCATTTATATTAATAATGTGCTGAGTGTGCCTGTCATAGTTCTAAGTATTAAAATACCAGTAGGTATGCTCACACTACTGCTGAGTACCTGACCTTTAATCTATACTAAAGAAATAGACATTACTATATTAGCTTTACAAAAAACTTTATCCATTGTGCCCCGCCAAGTATAAAAAAAAATGAACAGGGAGAAACTATTCAATCTTCTGCTTTTGTTTGAAAAATCAGCTTTTCTTTTCAAATCTTTATTCTAATATTTTAACAGGCAACTCTGCTCTAAATTGAAA